AGCGACGCTAGCGCGCGCCACTAACGTGCACGAAGTACTACGTTTAAGAACATACTTAGACTTTATATAGAGCTGAATAAAGAATAATATCTCTTATTTCTATCTAATATTATTACGTTGTTGTAGAGTAATTGCGCGGAGCGTCGCGTTAGGTTGAGTAAGCTGCGCACCCTAAATTCTACTAAAAATCAAGAATCGTAACAGCCTATATCTCTACAACCTCTAAATAAAAATAAATAGGAATTTGATACTAGAGTTGCATTTATAGGAATCTACTAGCTCTAGATTAAGAAGCTAATATCCTTTATATATACAAAACTATGTAGAAAAAACTAAATTATAGAGATTACTAAAGCGTAGTTTGCTCTATGTCTGCTATTATTAAAGTAGAGACTTTTCTTAAAAAGTAGTAATACTTTTTATATACCTGTAGAATATTCTATAAGTTTTTAATAACTTTTATTTAGTTATTGCAGAGATATAGGCTGTTGCGATTCTTAATTTTTAGTAGGATTTAGGGTGCGCAGCTTACTAATCCGCGCAGCTTACTAATCCCGCACGTTAACGTGCCCCACTAGTAAGCTGGCCACACTAGTAAGCTAGCCACCCTACCAGACTTGACGCAACGTTCTGCGCAATTAAGCTACAATAATAAGAGATAATATAGTTATATTCTACTATAAGGTAGATTATTACTATCTACATTAAGTCTGTGTATAGTCTTAAGTGTAGTACTTCGTATACGTTGGCGGCGCGCGCTAACATCGCTTACTAGCCTAGCTCTAGCTAGCCTCTATAACTATCCTTTCTGCCTCTACAGTAAGCTGCTGAGCCTACTGCACCTAGAGTACTCCACTAGAAGTAATATATTAACATTGTCAATACTACTTTTGTTATTAACGCTAATTTTCTATACGTAGCTTCTTATTCTCTTCTATAAGTATTATTACTAATTGTATTATAAGTTAAGCGCTTTTTGTAAGCTGGCGTATTATAATACTTATTAGGCTCTCTAGCTGCCAGCCTAGTCGCTCTTAGAGATAGCATACCTACTGCTAAAGCTGCTCTACTATACGTAGTATTTCTATCTGCGCTACTGCCTGCGTCTGCGCTGCTATCTATAGTAAAGACAGTATTCTAGCTACCGTAAGCGACGATAGAACACGCTCTAGATAGAGAGAGATAAGGCCTATCGCCTAAAAGCCTACCTAGATATTCTGCTACGTGAAAACTGTCGGCTGGATCCGTGTATTAGCTATAAGGAAGTCTATCTTATTAACGTAGTGGAGGTCTTAGCGGGCGAGCTTCTCTACCTTACGCCCATACGCGCGCTTAAGTAGGGAGAAGCAGCTTATATTAAGTGGCTGTAGGAGGTGCGACGTATAAGGCGGTATATAGAGAGTAATGATCTTATTCTCTATATAGAACTAGTTAAACTCTAGCGTGGCGTGGCTACTATAGCTGTCTAGAATAAGTAGCTGATAGACTTTAGCTGTACGAGCAGCTATATGCTAGTTAAAGTGCTTTACTCACTCTACGCTAAGCTAATTAGTTATCTATCCGTTGTCTAATACTGCGACAGTCTAGTTTGATAGAAGGCCTTAATACTAGTTGCTCTAGTAGGCCTTACTAGATAGGATTATGAATAGTGAGAGAGACTAGCTAGACGCGTTAACGCACTTAATTACTATCACCTACTCGCGATTACCTAGCTGTACGACGACTACTTAACTAATTCTATTAGCGCTAGTCACGACTTTTAACGTTGCAGCGACGCCTATCGCGAATCTAGTCTTATTAAAGTTATAGATATCCTAGTCTAAGACGCCGTATAACTAGCGCGTCTTCTCTACTAGTTTAAACTACGCTGTAATTGCGATTAGATCCTCGAAGGAGGCGCGCTAACTATTAAGCCTTCTACTCTACTTTATTTAAAGCTCTAGCTAGTTCTGTATAAAGCGCGACACCCAGTTCTTACTAATAGGTGCTAGAGGTAGATCTTAGCCGCGCGCAGTAAGTAGAGCGTCTACTATTTATCATACGTCAATAATATAAGGCGGAAAACCGCGTTAGTTAAGGTCTAGAATCTACTGTACGAGAGACTGCTCTTTAATAGGTAGTAGCTTACGCCTAGTAGATAGAATCTCTGATCGTGGCTAAACACCCTAGAGATATGTCTAGAGAGTTAATTTTAGTACGTTATACGCTGCTGTAAGTGCGCGTACTAATTATTTTAGATTATTACGATAGGAGGCTATAGTAAGACTTAATCTACCTTTATAAGAAGTCTGTATAGAACGTTGTTATCGCGGTATAGTGGTGGTTGTGTAGAGTGTCGCGTCAAGTCTAGTGAGGTAGCTAGCTTACTAGTGTGGCCAGCTTACTAGTGGGGCACGTTATATTATTATTATATATCTTACCTAAGAAGTTTTTCTTTATAATTATTACCTATTCTTTATATATTCTTCTAGTAGGTATATTAAATAGATCCTATAATATATAGAAGAATAGTTAAAGTAATCTCTTACGTAGTTACCTTAAGATTAATTATATAGTATACGCCCATATATAGTTCTTATATTTAATTCTCTTTATACTAATAATCTTAATATTCTTCGTAATATAAGCTAATATACGAAGTATACACTAGTCTAAGTAACTTAACCTTTAATACTATAGCTTCTCTTTGTCTATTCTTAGACTTAGTTAGACTAATCTTCTAATAGTATTTATAGTTATTAATTTAGAAAAGTAAGTATTAATCTTATTATATTTAATAAAAGTTTGATTATAATACTTAATTAGCGTAGCTATAGTTATATTATTCTTTAGTAATCTATATCTTAAAGTACTATCTAGAGAGTAATACTATACTCTAGCTATATTAAGATATCCTTCTACTATAATATTAATAGAAAAACAATTAACTAGCTTAATATTCTTAAGTAATAGATTCTTAGTCTTGAGTCTGTAATCGCTATTAAAGAAGTTCTTAATTAAGTAATCCTCTATTTCTTTAATAGTAAGAGATTCTATTTCTACGTTAACTATCCTAAGTTCTATTATCAGCTTAAAAGTACCTTGATTAAATAAGCTTTTATTATTAACTAGGTAAAGTAACTCTCTACTATTAAGGATTATACTTATTAAGAGAGAGTAGAGTTTATATAGTATATTACTATAAATCCCTAAGAGTATTTTGTTCTTCTTCTAGATTAGTACTAAATTAATTAGTACTATAGTGATAGAGTATTTAGAGTATCTACTTTACTTCTTACAATTAAAAGTTATAACTATAGCTATAACTATCTTTTAGCTACAGAGGAGCGCGTTAAAAGTCTTCGCGATAGGGGTAGGCAGCGCACTAACGCACCGCAGGTCTTAGCATTTGCTGTTTTAACGTGGCCTTCCTAGAGCCTCTTATATTTATTGTTTTTTAGTAATTCTTAACTAGATTAGCTTAATATAGCTTCTAATCATAATATCGCTACTTATACACTTATTATTACTCTTAAATCCATTATAGGAGAGTTAAATAGTAAGGTCTATTACCTTATAGGCCTTTCTAAGTCTACTATTTAAAATATATATACTAAAGCTATTAAGAGAGAATTTAAATATAACGCTTTATAATCTATTACTATATATAACGCTTACCTTAAAGATACTTCTTACTTAGAACGCTCTACTAAAGAAACTAAGACTATACGTTAATCTATTATCTAGAAACTCGTACGCGATTAATATAGAAGAGAGAAGAGCTATACTAATCTTACTAGTAAACTTAGTTAAGAGAGAGTTAATATCTCTACTATAATAGTGCGCTAAATACTTAAGAAGGTAGGCTATAAGAAGATAAAGCTAACGAGGAAGCCTAGATTAACTAAGAAGATAAGAGAGAAGAGACTAGCCTAGTGTAAAGAGCGAGAGAAGTAGACTCTTAAGACTTAGAAGAATATTATATAGATAGATAAGATTTCTATAGTTCTTAATTACCGCCGTAGAGGCTATTAGATCTAGAAGAAATCTAATAAAGCTTTTTTACGTAGTACTATACGTAAGAGGTAGAAAGACTACTCTAAGTTTATATTCTAGAGGAGCTTCTTATATAATAAGAAAGGTCTTTACTACTATTAGTAACCTAAATTAAGAAAGTAGAAGAAAGAAGCTTATAAGGCTATTAAGGCTCTTAACTAAAAGCTTAAAGCTAAGGCTAGAGCTAAGTAGGAACTAAATACTAGAGTTAGAAGGCTAGGCCTATATATAAAGTCTAGTAAGAAGCTAACTTAGAAATTTACTATAAATATAAGTAAGCTTACTTATAGTAAAGAAAATAGTATTAATTAGTAGAGATATCGCGCTAAAATATTAATACCTAAGCTTCTACCTTTTACTTAACGTGTTTTACAAGCGAGCGGGCCATACAAGCGAGCGGGCCACCCCACCAACTTTGCGCACCTCTCTAACTCTAATCAACTATGGCCCTATCAAATTAAGCCCGCAACGTCTCTCATGAATCTGATATACAGCTAGCAATCTTAGCTATTAATCAAGATTAAATTAAGTCTTAAAGAGATGTAGCAAAAGTCTACGAAGTCTCTCGAACAACACTCCAGCGTCGACGCGCTAGCATACTTACCCGACGCGATTGCCAGCCTAACTCAAAGAAGCTTACAAAGCTAGAAGAGGAGGTGATAGTTGATCATATAATTGATCTAGATCTACGTGGATTTTCGCCTACCTACGCAGCTATACGTGACATGGCTGACAGACTACTAGCTGCGCGCGGCGCTGGCCAGGTTGGCGTCCACTAGCCGCGCAACTTTGTTAAGCGTACAGACAGTCTTACGACGCGTTTCAATCGAGCGTACGATAGGCAGAGGGCTCTATATGAAGATCCAGTCCTAATTAAGGGCTGGTTTGAGCTCGTGGAGCAGACAAAGGCCAAGTACGGTATCTACGATGAAGACGTCTATAACTTCGACGAAGCTGGCTTTATAATGGGCAAGATCACGACTCAGCTAGTCGTAACAGCGTCAGAGAGGAGGTGCCGGCCAAAGGCAGTTGAGCTAGGCAATCGTGAGTGGGTGACGCTGATCGCAGCGATCAACGCAGCTGGCTGGTCTATCCCACCGTTTCTAATCTTTACTGGCAAGTATCACCTATCTGCCTGGTACGAGGAGGCAGAGATCCCACGCGACTGGGCCATCGCAGTCAGCGACAACGGCTGGACGACTAACGAGCTAGAAGTTAAGTGGTTAAAGCACTTTATTAAGCATACAGATGGCAAGGTTGTTGGAGCACGTCGGCTGCTTATTCTTGACGGCCATGAGAGCCACCAGTCACTTAAGTTCCAAGAGCTCTGCAAGGAGAACAACATATATACGCTCTGTATGCCGCCTCACTCATCTCATCTACTTCAGCCTCTTAACGTTGGCTGCTTCTCACCGTTAAAGCGCGCGTACAGCCGCGAGGTGGAGAGCCTAATCCGCCATCATATCAACCACATTACCAAGCTCGAGTTTCTGCCAGCGTTCAAGG